ATAATAACTAAAAAGTAAAAATTGTTCTCAGTATATCGTCATACCTGTACACATCGCAAACTTCATCAGACATTAGTATAATATTATAAGACTTGCAATTTATATATATATATAATATAGCTTTCTCGTCTCGTGTAGAAACTTATGAACCACATTAACGTAACCTAAGTACTAAGTAGGTATAAGTTTGATTAATTGTTTGTTCATATTAATAATAAGTACATCTGCAGTGTATACTAAATAATGTTTAGTTCTCCGACGGGTCTTAACTCTTAAGGTCCCTGGGTTTTAAGGTGTTATATCATTTCGTTCATTTATTATGTTGTGTTGGAAAACATTGCTCGTCAGAAATGATTAATAATTTAAAGGGTAACCGTTGTATGCGTATATTGTCAGGTCCTTTTGTTCACTCGAACAATCACAAGTAGACATATTATAAGAATACTTGTAATTTTAAGAATATTGTTTCATAAACGTTATCATAATATTTATAATGATACATTGATATTGATTTCCACTGTAGGTAAATCATTATATAAAAAAAAAAATATTTATAAAAATGTACGTCGATTAGTTAAAAATCTATTTATAATCTCACGACGTGCAAGCCGCGTGGTATAAATTGTGAAACATAATATAACGCGGATGTTTCTCATACTAATAATAATTTAATACGTTGTTTGAATTATGATTACAAATTTAAAAATAACACTGACCAATAGGTAATCTATAACTATATAACTGTCTTGTAATGAGCATGTTGCACGAATATATTATTATAATATTAAAGATTTATTATTATAGTGATGTACGTATTATAAGTTATGACAGCTATACGTCATAGGTACTGCAGGATAATTTATTCTTAATATTATTGTAGGTAAAATTTTGATCTAAACGTAGCAATTTAAATCATACGACTAATGATGAAAAATGTTTTTTACTGTATTAAAAAGATTGCAATAACGCCATTAATAACAAAAAAGTTAAAAGTTGAGTTTTTGTATTAACTATTCAAAATTATTTCAAAATGTAAGTATATTATAATAATATATTAATATCATAATACAGTATTTTTAATTTCAGTGAGTTTTTATTGCGTAGTTATGCTAAAAAGTAGAACACCGCTATTACATTTTTTTTTTGTTAATCTGTTATGAAAAAATTTTTTTAAGTTCATATTTCGTTTCATAATCGAGTTAAACTTATTCTTAATTTATTATTACATTATTTTGGTAAAAAAAAGATATCCAATTATGATTTTTGTGTTATTTCATAATTTTGTTCCTATAATATTATAGCATAAAAAATATTCACCGATTATCATTATTCCGCATTACTTTTTCACCACATAAGTATTTTTCCGTATTTGAATATGGGTTGGTTTATGCAATTTAACCTGAGCAATTTAAAGAATACTATATATTTATGTAACATGAGTTGCGGTTGATAAAAGTATATTCAGTATTCACGGTCAGGTTGCCGACGAGACATTTAATTTTATTGGTCGTCTCGATTTTCCAGATTTATTTATTCAGTTATAGCCAGCGCTACAAGTTTATGTTTAAAACCAAAAAACATGGTTGAGTATGTAAAAAATATAAAAAAAGAATTATAAACATTAGTTAGTAAGAGACTTGAAAAGTATATGTTTAAAGTTTTTTTTAGTGCAACTGATAATAGAATCGAGTGTGAGGAATTTTAGAATTTAACTTACAATACAAAATATACTGTGTACCTTTTATATATATTATTTTATTTGCTACTATAATTTGACTGTGGGTTCTTTCAAACCTTAGCTACAATAGTTGAGTAGATTTTTTGTATTACAAATTTATAAAGGCTATATATATTTGGACGACGAAAAGAAACAACGTGGTCCGTGATACTTGTATACTTTGGTTTAACGGACGATGTAATGATGTATTATCATACATATATATATATATAAATTAATTATATTAAAAGTTATCAAACAAGCGATATTATTTTTTCCATCGTAAATAGGTACATAACCTACATTTGTGAGTAGTGTAAGTCGGCGCTCAATGCCCCTGGAATAGGTAACAATGTAACACTGACTATATGACCAGACCAAAGACGATAAACATCAGACAGATTCACAACATCAACAGACGTAACATACCGCAAACTATTTTGTACATTTCATATTTTTGTAACATATTTTTAAGTCACTTTTAAAATGTATGTTCACTATAGAAAGAGATAGCTATATTTTGAATGAATCTTTAATGAAACGTATAATATTGTGTTAAATATAATATAGATATTTGCTGTTCCTAAGCAGCATTTGTTACAATCAATTATCGTGGGTATATTCGTATATTGTATAATTTTGTGAAATTAAAAGTTTAAAAGAGTTTAATGGATTTCAAAATACTGTTGGTTTTTCACTTCAATGCTGATTATACAGTGATATTTAAAACACGAATCTGTCAATATTTCACGAAAATGAAAATTTAAATTGAATTAATAATTATTGCTGTTAACACTTTAATAATTAGCTGAAACCCGATATTCAAAATAAGTCTCGAAATCAATGAATATTTGTCTCTTTCAGGTATAAGTATTTGCGATTAACTAAGTATACAAATTTTCTATTTCAAATCGTAACCCGTGCGTACTTACTCATTAATTGATTATATACGATATGGAAATAAACGAAATCATTTTAACTGCCTCTTCAAGGTTTTAAATATTAGGAGATATCGATCAATTCAAGTTAAAACAACAATTCTGTATTCACCATTTGTTTTTAAAATTGATTCACTATTCAGTATTTGTTTTTATTACCAAAAAAGCTTTTATATTTAATCGTTTCAAAGTGAAAATACATTATTAGATTATACTATAGCCGTTTAAGTAAAACGTGTTTAAAAAAAAATTATAATTATTTGAAGTTTGTAATGATAAAATATATCCACGTATGATCACTGATCAGTCACTGAAATGATTCTGAATGAACTTGTGAGTGACTTATAACTCATAGGTTATAATATTGTATAATTGCTTAAAATGTTAGATCTTTAAAAAAAATTGTTGTGACAAAGTTTAAAATAATACTTTTATTATTGTATTATTTTAAGGTAATATTAAAAAAAAAAAACCGTAAGAAACATAAGAGATAAGAATGTTCATAGGCCGTAGCTTTAAATATTTATACTTTATTACGTGCAAAAACTACTTGACACATTTTTTATAAATGTTTTCAATTTAAAGACCCATTCTTTATACTCTTTACTCTATGGTTTAACGTTATAATGATTGAATTCTTAACATATAATACATAGCTAGATATATTATAATTTCATAATGCTATAAATCATAATAATTTAAAAAAACTAACCTCATTCCTACCTCTCCAAGATAAAATGCGTGTTAAATTTGCTCAAATATACAACATTGTATATTATACATTATATCTCAATGTCAAAAATAATTTGAATTTACCCGCTACTCAGTACACACAACAGAGTTCGAATTTTTGAATTAGAGTTGGACTTTCCCTTCTCTCATGCCATCACATCTTACAATATTGTGCATCGTAATAAATTTGCTTATTGTGTGAAAACCGATTGTAAACTGTTAAAATTAATTTTTTTTTAAAACAAGGCACATGTATAAGACAGTTTAATAACTCTTTTCTAAACATCAAATGCCTACATTCTACGCCTGATAGAATATCTGAAACAAAATAGCATTATTTAATGTATTCATTGAATATGCCATACTAAAAATAATTAATCATGGTACTTACCATAATATAGTTTTTCAATGGCGTAGCCAGGAATTTTGTTAGGGGGGGGGGTTATAGTTTGAACTTTTAATTGATTCTGAGTTATTCGTTTTATATTATTTTTATCTTAAATAAACAAATGTAGAGGTAATGATTTTATATCATAGTAATTTAATATTTAGAGAGAAAAAATGTCTGGTATTCATTCTATTGGTTAAAAACATTGGATCGAAAACAATATAATGAATAGGAGTTTTCATTCGTTTAATAAGGTACTAATTTAAAAATTAGTATCTGTTAATGTACCTATATAATAGCGGTATTGTCTTGAGATTTATTACTGAGATGATTTAAACGAGAAAAAACATGAACAGAAACTTGAACATGCACGGGACTTTTATTAAATTTTAGTCTATATTTATTTTGTTTTGGATGATTGTTTTTTTATTCGGTAACAACTATTGCATGTTCCCTGAATACTCATTTAATTTAGTATAAGTACGAAAATAATTAATCGATCGAAATTTAAATAGTTGAACATGGTAATTGTGTTGTATAAGTTCCTAAAATACTGAATTGTAGAATATCTATTATCAAAATACTAACTTGTCACGCATTTTTTATGCTGTCCCGTAGGAAGGTATTTAACTAGATCTTATAAAAATCAGGTGTACCAGTGACAGTAGCATAGCACATATAGGGAGGTACCTAAGGATCTTTAGTATCCATCTACAGACTTCATATTATTACATGTTTATTTAATGTAATAGAGCATAACATGTACACTAGAGCCACCGAGATAGGTAATCTGCATTGTGAGTTACGTTTATTAACTAATTAAACATACATTTTTTTTATTGTTATGAATTGTATTAATATAGTGTAATGTGAACATTTTTCCGTAATTTAACTGAATGTAGTAAATATCAGCATTGAGTATAATTATATTATAATACACATTTCAATTATTATTTTAGTCGGTGTTACTAATTAGTTGTTTCATTAGTTTAGTAACTAAAGTGAATTACTAGTTTATTAGGTAGGCGGATAATAGGTACATAGTTGTATTTATGTATAATAATAACCTCATTATACTATTATATTTCCCACTTCAATCATTATTCATGCGTAATGTATATAGCTACTTTATATTGCTAATGCCTATACTCTTAGCATCGGTCTATAATTATATTATAATGTACAAATCCCACGTCGAGGACCAGGGTGGTAACTACCTACATACCTTGAAAGCTGCTCGGAATTTCAATGACATGATATGGTACAGTATTGGATTGATGGTGGTGGACACATAGTACAGCACACCGGAGATGTACGTGGAAATACCGTACAGTTGGTGTAGAAACGGTATGTCATCCGCGTCCAAGTTACCAGACGATACGTGACTGGACCCGAATATGGCGATAAGCCTTTGAGCGTGAAACGGGGCCCAGCAGATGAAAAACGCCACCACGACGGCCACTGAAAATTATCAAACGATTAATAATCATTATCGGTTGATTTAAATGTTAAACAGTATTATTTCTCATAGCATAATATTATTAGTCTGCAAGAGAGGCACATCATATGGTATCAGCATAAGTAGGTATAGGTATTATACAACATAGGAGCATATTATATCAGCATAATATTTTGTGTTTTCCAAAAAAAAAATATCGAATGTAAGTCAGAAAGACCTGTTTAGACTCGGAATATGATTATAGGAATGTCTAACCATCATAATATTATATAGCACCCACCAGTCACCACAACATATAAGTATATTCAATTTCACTGCTGACATATAAATAAAGTGTAGGTATAAAATTAATACAAACATATTTGTATGTACTATCCCATCGTTCCACTTAAACTTTTTCTGCCTTTCGTTTCTATAATTTTTTTTATCGTATTTATTAACTTTAGATAATTTACTGTTATAACTAATATAGTTAATCAAACTACTATCAAAAAATAGTAAGGATGCATGGAAATATTTTAATAGACCAGAAAAAAAAGAAACAACATTTTTGCCGAGGTTTGTTTTTTCAATTTTACGGAGATGGACGAGGATTTTTAGATGTGTCTAATTATTTATAATATGATACATAAGGTTGAAAATGTACTCGTTAAATATTCTTCACACATAATGTTGCGTAACGATTTTAATGGCAATATATTTATTTGTAAGTTCATAATGATAAAAGTTTTTGTTTTATTTTATATACCACTGAAATTAAACGCGATAAAATTAAAAAGTACCTATACTTCGTATAAAAGTTTTTAATTACCTATATACTGCAGTAATATTGCAATATACCAATTTTGAAGTGAAACTTCTTTATGGAGGGCACAACAAAATTATACTCACGACACAAAATTTCCATGAAAACGAAAAATAAATAAAATATAAATCATATAAATCCGATTATTATTATTTTTATATATTTACAAATATATATGTATAATGTAACTTAATTCAATTTATAATGATTATAAATATCAAAAGTATTGTGGGCTATAATAATTTATTATATTATTTTTTTTTTTTTATTATTATTATTGATCTTAAGCTTCGGCAACTGAGGCCATTAGCTGTAGTAGGATTTGTATTGTATATTTTGGGACGGTAGGGGGGAACACGTGTGTGTTTGTTTTTGGCAGAATTTCGAATGGGGCACCCGTAGGTTTCTGCCATGCCCCGGGGGTGGGGGATGGCAGCACTTGTTCTCCGGTCACCGCGACTTGTCCGGAGAAAAATTCCGCTCGGTAGCCGAGGATCGAACCGCGACCGGCTGCGTCGCAGCGGACTTATTATATTATTATTTTTGTACAACATCAAATATTCCAATGGTGATTTGATTTTAATTTGAAATTAAAAAAAAATAATGTCTACAATTAATCTATAATGAAATAAGAGTAATTAAAATAAATAGAATAAGAATTAAACAAACAAATAATTTTTTTTGCACAACGAAATTTTACCTAAACTCATTTTAGTTCATGCAAGTCCTTGCTATGAGAGTGTTCATTTTCAGAAAAGCTAGATTTAACTAAAAACTACAAATGGAGTTTCACTTCATACGCGAGCGCTGGTCACACACACGTTTTTTATTATACCTATATTTTATAGAGAGTGATTCGAAATAATATATATTTTTAATATAATAAGAATTGTAATTTTTATTTCTGAAAAATGAGTTAACTAGGTAGATTATAATTTTGTTCGTAATGTGATATAATGAATAATATTCAAGTGCAATAGACAACAAGATTTGACTTATTAAAAAAATCCTTTTTACAGAGCATGCAATTTTAACCAAAGTTAGACAAATTCCATTTTCCTACTAAATCGATTTTTTTTTAAATTTAAGTGATCTCACTAATAATCTCATCATGGAAATATCTTGCCTACTAAATTAATAAATAAGTCTTCTGTTATATTTTTACTCAATATTATCATGAATATATTAATACTCTATTTGAATTCCCTATTTCAATAAATACTCAAGAGTAGGTAATTAAAAAAGTAATCAGTAATTACATGAAATGAATACTCGAAGAGTATTTAAATACTAGTACTCAAATATTTTACAACTTTAAATGTACTTACCTTCTTAATATTAAAAGAGTAAATCTATAAATTAATTTAAAATAAGATCGTTCAACGTTTTATTAGTCTTCATAAAATTACATTAACTCCTTTCTTAACACCAAAAGCACTTTATTTTGACAATATCCGTTATTTTATGGTAACAATTAGTTTCAAAATTGACCTGTAAGATTATGTACTTTGTGCACTACATAAAATGTAGACACATAAAATACAAATTTTACTATTTTAGGGAGAAATGTTTTTTTTTTATTTTAACTATCTAGTATTAATATAATTAAATTTCCACCCATAATCCATATTGATATAGAAGATATAAACTAATTAAATATAATATTGTTAACGTATTCTAATAATCCAATGAATATTATTATTCGATAGGTAATAATAATAATAAAACAATAATTTAAATTGTTAGATAAATATCACAGTTGACGGTTTGAAGTTTACATTATAATATGTTCATCAAGTTATTGAGCAAAATAAGTTATAGTTTTAATTTTAAATATCAACTATTCTTTTAAGATATAAATACACAGTATATCATGTGTATAATACGATCATTGATCATAGATATTCATGTATTATAGAATATGCAATAATTCTATAAAAAAACAACTAAATCACTTTGATAATCAAAATGTAATAATATGTTTTAATTAACTGATACACCTATATTATAATGTATTCATTAATTGTAATACGTTTTATTTTAAATGAAACAATTGTATTAAGTCTCATTATTAATAATTGATGAAATATCTGCCTATCGATAAGAACCAAAAAAAAAAAAGTGGGTGAGTGGATGCCGCTCTGCTGTACATTAGCTAGGTGTCTAGGAGGTCGCTATAATGTATAGTATTACATTTGAATTCAATGCGACATCAAATCATTGTAAACGAAAAACGATTCTGGGCGGAGACCGTATGTCAGTGTAGGATATTTTATATTGTTATTACTTATAATTAATATGGTAGCCAGTAAGTTGAATTAATATCATTCTTAAATAATCAGTGATGCAGAAAAAATATTGAATATACTAATACAAAATTGGGCTGTTTTGGAACCGAATTACAAAAAAATGATAAATGTTATTCATAGTGTTAATATGCAATCTTTTCCAAATGTGAACTTAAAATGTCTGTAAAAATAACAGTATTCATATATTTTTTAGATTTTTTAGTTACCGAAGAAAATGCTTAAGTGGAACCTTGTTTTAAATGTGTTCGATCTTTAGCTATACAAATTGAAAATTGTATATATTTTTAACTACAAAATCATTTTGAATTTTGAATTTGATAAATATTGTCAACAGTTGAACTTTAAATGTTTATAAAAAAAAATTGTGCATACGTATTTTTAATATTTTTCAACTGCTATTGTAAAAAGTTATCAAAAGTCTTGCATTAAATTTTCATGTATTTTTACCCAAACAATAAAACTTTATTGACATTTATAAAAGAAAAATTAAAATAGAAAATGTCCGTTAATAGCTTAAAACGAGTCAAAATATTTTGAACATTTTATCAAGTATATGAATTGATGAAGCAAACATTTGGTGTAAATTTCAAGTGTATATAGTAATTCGTTTTTGAATTACAACAAGATCACAAAATCACCACAAGAGAAATCGAGTGAATATCCAATGTTTAAAAATTTGAACTTCAAATGCTCATAAAAATTTAATTGGACTTTCCTTAAAAATTTCCGTTTTCCTTAATTTTTTTTTTGTTTTTCCTTTTGCTTTTGAAAACTGTTGGGAATTTTAAATTTTGACCTCCCCACTAACTAGAATCACTTTCCGACCGGAAAAGTTCCTGTTGAAGAAAATCGAAGCACTTTTCTGCAAGAAACCGTGTTGACAGACACAAAAATAAATAAATAAATAAATAAACATAAGAACACACATCATTGTAAAATCAATACATTCATCGTAGCGCTCAGAATCTAAAAATAATGTTAAATATAGTAATTATATTTCTATAATATTATGGTGTCTATACTCTATAGTAAAAAATAATAGTATTAATTTAATAAATCACCTAACTTATAGTTGTAGTGAAAGCAAGTAACAACCAATAGAAAATAATTATAATTCCTGAATTAATTTATCTTAACTAATCTAACACAGGTACAGATGATACTAGGTATTGTGCTTAAACAATTGAGTTTTTTAACTGAAGCACGCGAGACAAAATATTGTGATAGTATTTAAATAATTGTCAATTTAGAATTCTATAACTATATAAAGCAATATTATATTTGTACAAATTTACAGTGAATATTTAATTCAATTGTAATACTGTGAAAAAGAAATGTATTTACCTACTTAACACGTAGGTATTAATTTTAAATTCGTAAATTGCATTATAATTATTTTAGCTGCTCTTCAGGTTCAGCATGATTTTTTATAGTAAAGCCTAGGTATAAAATATGTAGTTAATGTAGTGAAGCATGTAACATATTTGTATAGGGCTATATTCAATTTCAGTCTATTTTTGTTTATTAAAAACAATATATTTTATATAGATTTTCATTCAGGTATATTACTTAGGTACATTTTTACAAAAAAAAAAAAATTGTATCATTTTTTTCTTAAATGATTTTTATGGGCTGTTCCAAATGTTTTTCAATTTTCTTATATTTTATATATATATTTCATTAATTCAGAATATTTTTCTGTTAATTTTGATGCAACAATATTAAATATTGAATAAATCGTTTTAATATGATTGTGATGAGTACTTCGAAAAAGTTGTTTTATACATTTTACATCGTAGATGTGATGGAATTTTTTAAAAATTTTTCTTCAAAATGTATTATGGTTAACTACAGATTAATATTACAAACCTTCTATAATAATGCAATT